GTGTGTGAAAAACACAGGAAATGCATGAGGGTCATCCGCGTTTGTGAGATGAGAAAGAGAGCTGACTTCCTGAACTCTAAATACTCAGGATAAAGGCATGCAAGTGGGAAAATTCATGGTCACTTGGGTTTTTTTCTACTCCGTTTCAGACAAAGAACACTTTATTTAGACTTTCAAGCCTGATCAGTCGCAAATGCTAACCTAATTTGAAAAGGAAGAAATTAAGCAAAAAAAGTTATGGTCTTTAAATAATAGTCAGCTCTCTGTTTCTTGATTTCTCAGTGTGAGGCTCCATGTAGATACAGATTGTGCAAATGCAGGCTTGTAACATTCATATCAAGCTGACATAAGTAATGTGGTAAGAAAACAACACTGATAGACTATTCACCTTTGCTCTCAAAGAGTCAGCAGTGGAGCACAAACACAGCTCAACAGAAAAAACCTAATCAAACAATAAAAAGGAAGTCCACAATATGTGTCGTAGCTGCAAATTTATAGCTTCTGCATGCATGGGGTGTCTATGTGTAGCAACATGAAGAGTGCTTTTATATGGTGGCAACATAAGGCTGAGGCAAAAGGTGTATGAAAGCCAGAGGAATGCAGAGAAACTTCTCACACAACATGCTGTCTCTATGACAACAACGCAGAATCATTTAGCCTGATCTTTTGGCTTTCCACACGGCAGAGAAATCCAATAACATTTAAGTCTTACACAACCAAGCCACAGATTCACTCTATAAAGCTTTAGACACATGTTCAAATAAAGTTAATGGATCCATTCATGGATTAACACAGTAACTTCCAAGAAACAGTTTTTTAGGAAACATTTCAAGGCGTAAGAAATATGAACTACTTCTCTTTGCAGACTTTTTATAAATAAAATTAATAATCTGTATCTTCATTTGAATGAAACGTCTTTAGTACCAAAAATTACTGTATAATAGATTATTATATTGATATTGCACTAAAAAGCAGGAATTTAACCAATAAAGTTTATGTAAAAATCTACAAACATTTTACATACCGGTAAGTATATAATTGATACTGCTGAGAATTGAGGCTACCATAGTAACAACTACATCGAGATGAATTATATTGGTTGGATAGAAACATCGATTTCTACTTCTTTTGAATGTAATTTAAAGATTTTAATTCCAAACCAAAAAGAAAAGAAAGTTGGAGGAGGCTAAGCTACCATGAGTTCAATTTCCAATATGGCTGCTTAAACACAATAACATCATTTTCAGATAACGGCTCCAACTTCTGTAAAACATACAATGCATCATTACAAACTCCATAGTTATTTATATCATTAAGTTATCCGTTATGTATATTGAGTGTTTAAAATAAACAAAATAAGAATTAGTTGATGATTATGGCATACAATATACAATTTAAGTGTTTTAAATCTCTTCTTAATAAATGTAAACATTTTAACAGACAACCAAAACTAAAAGGAATTTGCAACAACTGCCTTAGAGTCAAAGGGCTCAGTTTGTTAATAGGTTTTACTTGAGGTATTAGAAAGGTTGCAAACCTACCTAAAGCTGGATCTACACTAAAGTTCTTCCTCCAATATAAAACCTTTTGATTTTTAAGTCAAAGTGTTAATATTTTAACTTGGTAACTGAAAGATGAAAAAAGTGAGCAAAACAAGCACCCTCAATATGCATAGAACAAGAAAACGATTTCATCCATGGAATGAAATATTGACATTGAGAGATAACCATCTCCCAATAGTCCCAACAGCAGGGCTACTAAATAAAATGTGCCATACCTTCCACCATACAAAATTAATATTCTCTCAGTCCAAGTCCTAAGCCATTTTGTACTTTTATGCTTTTGGTAATAATATACCCAACTTTTTGTGTAATCTCTATGCCCACCCCGTGGAATTACGCAGAAACAAGGGTGTAACTTTGTGATGAAAGTTGGTCGAGACACTCATAGGGTAGTAGCTGATGGAACTACAGTTACTCGACACAAACACTATCAATAGGGTTTGTATTTTACAAAATTGAGCTGAAACATATTGATTGAATGCTTTGCTATTGTTGAGAACACAAAAGAACCAAAATACACTAATATTTATATTATTGGTAGTTAGACATTAATGTATAAAAAAAGGATTGAAAACAGCCGATTCTAAAGCCAACAGCAATATATCGTGCCTCCCTACTATGCACACAATATTAGTTTCATTCATTCATCCATCAATCCATCCAGAAAAATGTAGATTGATTGATTTGATGTTTTTCCTTTCAGCTACATCAGCAGTGTTGGGGAGTAACGGATTACATGTAATGACGTTTCGTGATTTAATTACAAAAAAAGAGTAACTGTAATCCGTTACAGTTACAATGAGAAAATATGTAATTCAGTTACAGTTACTTCCGAAAATATTAACAATTACAAATTTAGTTACATTTTTTAAAAAAATATAAAGAAAAACCTTTGCGAAATATGTAATGATATTTTTATTGTTTCGCGCCCTGTATCGCCGTTTCCCACTATGGCTCCTTGTCTCTATTATATTTGCCACTCTGATGATCCATCCTGTTTTGGTGGAGCCTCCTTGAGGAACAGCAAGCGAGCGGACGGTTCTATTTCAGCTCAAGCAGCGCATCAAACAGTGATGGGCAGTAGCGCAGCTACATGTAGCGAAGCTATTAGTTTAACTACATGTTCCAGTAGCTTGACCGTAGCGTCGCTGCTTTATTTATCAAGTAACTTTCCTGTAGTGACGTTATTGCTTTGATCAAGAAGCGACGTAGCGTCCACAAACGCAACAAAATCCAGGGCATAACTAAGAAATTAAACCAGGTTTTCTATTTTGAAACAACAGAGTTATTTGTTGGACATTCACGCATGAGCCTCTATTCTGCCTCTTCTGTGTGTAGTTCCCAAAACATGCGTATGCGCACGGCAGTGGAACTCAAAGAATGACACACACAGACACATGCACACACACACAGGATGGAGGAGGAGACAGGAGCAGAGAGAGAAGAGCAGCCAACTGACCCTACCACACCGTGGCCTTATCTTCAGAGATTATGAAACTTGTTGAATCCTCAGATAAAAAAATAAGTGTACAGATGTCTGCTTTGCAAAAAAAAACAAAAAAAAAAACAGTTGTCAACGTCCAGGACATCCAACACCAACCTGAGAACTCACATTCAGGTGAATCACTAATTTCCCTCCTGCAGTATGCAAGGAGGGAAACTAAAGTGTAATAAGGTGATCACTGTAGGAAAGAAGTGGTTTCTGAACCTGCTTGTGTTAGTCTGCAAACTGGTTTTAACTCCTCTCAAAGCACGACGACAAGACGTAGGTTTTCTTTAACGGGTTTATTCCTCCAGGCAATCTTGTCAAGCCTCCCAAAAACCGTGAAAACTGAATAAACACAATACACAATATCAGAATGACGTTAGCTAAAGCGCTAACACGAACCAAACCTTACAGAAATGAATAAAATAAATTACAAACAAACAAACCTCGTTGGCTGCGTGCGTGAACAGAGAGAAATTAAGTCCTTGGTGACTTGAGTCCTTGTGGTCATCAGTCCTGAGTTGAGTGTAAATGTTCGTATTTAAAACTTTAATGACAGCTGATCTTCTGTTGCCGATTCCTTGGTGGGCTAATGTCTCTCTGAAGTTTAACTGACAACGTTAGTCGTTACTAGGGTGTTGCGTCACACGCACGCGCATTGAGGTTGTCAAAATAAAAGATTGATCGTGAACACGGTAAGTACATAAGCAAATAAAAATAATTATAAAAATAACAAACCCTTTAGATGAAACACTTAAAAAATGCTTGCAACTGTTACACTCCCACCAAATCACATCATACTTAACGTGGGATTTCTCTAAATTTAGAACAAAACTGTTGCGAGTCAAATGTGAACCTTGAACCATAAATTGAAACATGCATTATACTCTGCCTCAAGTAATGTGATAACCTTCTGTATGGGTCTGTCAAGCAAAACTGTCTTAACTTTAGGTTTACCCTGTGTAGCATGTGTTGTGTCACCAACTCGTAATGTGACCTTTCTCACCCTGCCGTCTGATGATGGCAAGACTTTGTGGACTCTGGCCAGCTTCCACTCACAGCGGGGGGCTTCATCATCCTGTAGGAGCACGATGTCATTCACCATCAGATTTCTTCTACTCTTCTGCCATTTCTGTCTTTGTTGTAAACTCAGTAAGTATTCCTTTCTCCATCGAATCCAGAATTCATTTGCCAAGTACTGAATTTTCTGCCATCTCTTTCGTAGGTACAAATCTTCCTTTACGAACTGTCCCGGTGGAGGAAGAATGACTGTGGACTTCATGGTGAGAATGTGGTTTGGAGTCAAAGGTTCGGGAGCGGATGGGTCATTCAGGTTCTCAACGGTAAGTGGTCTGCTGTTGACGATCGCCATCACCTCGTAGAACAGGGTTCTCAGGGAGGAGCCATCTAGTCTTTGCACAGACTTGTCCAGAATGGCTGTGAGAACACTTCTTGTAGTTCTTATTTGCCTTTCCCAGATGCCGCCCATGTGACTTGCTGCTGGGGGATTCATGATGAATTCACATCCGAGGGCTTTGACTCGTTCTCCACTTATTCCTTTCATAAGTTCCGCAAACTCCCTTCTTGCTCCAGCAAAGTTGGTGCCTTAGTCACTCCTAAGTTGACGAACACTACCTCTGATGGCAATGAATGTTCTCAGCGCGTTGATGAATGCGTCAGTTGTAATGTCGTCAAGCATTTCCACGTGAATGGCTCGTGAGCACAGACAGGTAAGTAGTAAACCATATTTTCTTCATCTCCTTTCTTCCTTCTTTTACGTGGAAAGGTCCAAAGCAGTCTATGCCGGTGTAGGTGAATGGAGGACCCGTTTCCATTCGATCTGAAGGCAAGTCGCTCATTTTTTGTTCTTCTGGTTGTCTTCTGTATTTCCGACACTTGACACACTTGTAAATGTGAGACGACACTGCACTGCTGCTTCCCAAGATCCACCATCAATTGGCTCGCAGTTCGTTCGAGGTCATTCTGCGTCCTTGATGATGAACTCGCTCATGGAAATGTTTGATCAGCAGGCTGGCCATGTGAGTGTTACTTGGGATAATGACTGGGTGCCTTACGTGTGGGTGTAGCGCAGCTTGACTTAAGCGCCCGCCCACTCTCAGGACTCCATCCTCATCCAAAATCGGATTCAATTTGAAGAGTTTGTTGTGTTTTGTCTTCGTTAGATTTCCTTTTCCTTTCAGATCCTTGATTTCAACTGAGAGTGCTTCTTCTTGAACCAATTTGACGATGGTAAGTTCTGCTTCCTTTCTTTCTTCTAAGCTTGTACTCTCATTGGTTCTTTCTTTCACACCTTTGTGTTCTTTAATCAGTCTCTTCAGTCTGGCAACTGCTTGTACTGCCCTTGACCAGTCAGAGAACTTCTCCAGGCGGTTCAACAAAGACCTGTCTTCCTTTGCCTTTGTGTTCAGCACTGTAGCCTTGCGAAGTTCAGGATCATCTTCTTTAAGTTCTCCCACCTTGCTTTCTCTGTGCGGTAGTTCTTGCCGCCATAGAAACTCAGGACCAGGGAACCAATTTGAGCTCTTGAGCTGCTCTGCTGTCAACCCTCGAGAGGCATAGTCCGCTGGATTGTTCTCGGACACGACGTGAGCCCACTGGTCAGGGTTTGTGCTTGACTAGATTCTCTGTATTCTGTTGGCTACGAACACATGGAATCTCTTGGCGTCGTTGTTGATGTAGCCGAGAACTACAATGGAATCAGTCCAGAAGTAGTCCTTCGGATCTTGGAGCTCCAGCTCGTTTCGGAGCATGTCGCTGACTTTGACCACGACTACAGCTGCTGAGAGTTCCAACCTCGGTATCGTTGTAACCTTTGTGGGGGAGACTCTGGATTTTCCCATCACTAGGCTACAATGAACTTCATTGGACTCGCTGACAGCTCGCAGGTAAGTACACATGCCATATCCCGTGGTGCTTGCATCGCAAAAGTGGTGGAGTTCATATCTTTTCACAGGTCCAAAATGTGCAGGTAAGTAGCATCTTTTTATTTCCATGTCAGACAAGTTGGGTAGCTCTTTGATCCAGGATTCCCATTGAGGTCTCAGGCTTTCAGGGAGTTCTTCGTCCCAGCCGATCTTCTCTCTGCACATCTGCTGGAGAACTTGCTTCCCTAGGAGAACGAAGGGGGCCATGAATCCTAACGGATCGTACACGGAGGCTACCGTGGAGAGCACACCTCTTCTTGTAGATGGATTTGACTTGACTTGAACTCTGAACTTGAAGGAATCAGATGTAACACACCATTCTACTCCGAGAGCTCTCTCCATGTGTGGTAGACTGAGAGTCAGGTCTTGATCTTTGACTGCAGCAAGGTCTTCCTCTGGGATGGACATCATAACATTGTTGTTGTTAGAGACGAACTTGTGAAGTCTGAGCTTACCGGTGCTACAAAGCTCTCTGGCTTCCTTGACCAGGTGGATGGCTTCCTGTTCTGTGGGAACGCTTACAAGCCCATCATCTACGTAGAAGTTCCTCTGGATGAAGCGGACGGTATCTTCTCCATAGAGTCCTTGCCCTCGAGCTGCCAGGTGCTTCAGGCCAAAGTTGGCACAGCCGGGGGACATGGCCGCTCCAAACAGGTGGACCCTCATACGGTAGGTTGATGGTGTAGACTCCAAGTTGCCATTCTCCCACCATAGGAATCGTAAGTAATCTTGGTCTTCGGCTTTCACAAAGAACTGGTGAAACATCCGTTCGATGTCACAAATGACTGCGACTTGATCGTTCCGGAATCTGCAGAGGACACCCACCAGTGTGTTTGTGAGGTCGGGTCCAGTAAGTAGGTGGTCATTGAGACACTGTCCTTGAAACTTGGCAGAGCAGTTGAAAACGATCCGGATTTTCCCAGGTTTTTGTGGATGATACACTCCGTGATGTGGAATATACCAAGCAGCTCTGCCTTCAACTTCTTCATCAAGGATCTTCTCTGCATCACCACGAGAGAGGATGTCGTTCATATGCTTCATATAGTCTTTGTAGTACGTTTCGTTCTTTCTTAGTTTCCTTTCAAGACATTTCAGGCGGTGCTCTGCGCATATCCTGTTGTCAGGCAGTGTAGGTCTCTCCTCCTTGAACGGCAATGGCATTTCGAGGTGACCATCGTCTCTTTGTGATACATTTTCTCTCATCATGGACAGGAACTTGAGGTCATCTTGAGAAATTGGATCTTCTTCTCCAGCTCTTTCTGGGAAGTCTGACTCAAGGATCTTAATGATGTCTGAAGGAGTGACCTCTTTGACCTTGCATCTGTTCACGTAATGTACTTCAGTCTTCAGGTTGACGGGAGAATTGATCTCTGGTGACACTCGCATGGTGACTATGTGATGACTGATGCCGACTGCGTCTTCGAACTCCACACAGGGATTCCCATGGCCTACGATACTCCACCCCAGGTCAGTGCATTGCGCGAAAGGCTGATTGGCTTGACCAGACACGACTTCTCTTGGGAGTAAGGCTTGAGAGCAGTTGTAGCCAATGAGCAGACCGACTTCACAACTTTGCAGAGGTGCGATGTGTTCTCTCAGGTGCTCTAAGTGGGACCAAGCCTCGGCAGTTTCTTTGGTGGGGATGTGGGTTCTGTTGGCTGGAATGAAGTCACGTGTGTAGGATGGTGGTAAGGTGATTCTTTTGTCCAAGTGAAAGCCTCGAACCTGCAGGTTCTTCACTCTTTGAGATTGTATGACGGTGGTTGAAGTCATAGTTGAGAGCTTTAACTTGACCTGGTATTTCTCTGCACCCAGAGACTCTGCAACTTCACTCAGTACAAATGTTGTGTCACTCTGTGAGTCTAACAGCGTAAAGGAGCACCTCTTCTGTTGGTTGAGTAGCAGATGAGAGCCAGACAGGAACTACTGCGGCTGTTTGCAAACCAGGTTCATGTTGGATAACTCTGTGTGTAGAGGCTGTGACGGTGTCTTTATCCTGCTCAGCTTGAGTCCTTTCCTTGTTTTGGTTGCTTGACTTGTATTGACTGTGTTGGGCTTGTGGTGTCTTTCGCTCTCCGTTGTCTCTTTCTTCATGCAGACAAGTGGGGTGACGCTTCTTGCAAGCATCACAGACACTCCTATTGCTGCAAGCTTTAGAGTGGTGGCCCGGTTCAAGACAACCGAAACACAGCCTCTCACTTTGGATAAACTTGACTCTGTCTGAGACTTCTTCCTCCAAGAACTTCCTGCATGCATGCAAGGTGTGGCCGATTTCCTTGCAGAACAGGCATGTTTTAGGGGCTCGCTCGTTGGAACTTGTGGTTAGAGTCTTTGCTTCAAAATTTAGCTGCTTCTGCTTGTTGCTTGCTGGCTGCCTTGCCCTTTCAGCCTCATCTTGCTTAAGTGAATGCAGCGATGTAGCTGGGTTACAGGCGATCTTTGCTTCTCTTGAGAGGAACTTGACAAACTGACTGAAGCTTGGGAACTCGTCGTTCTCTTCTTCCATGTCAATGACTTTCCGATTCCATCTAGCTGTTAGCCAGTCAGGTAACTTTGCGAGAAGCTTCCTGTTTTCATTGCAGTCATTCAGGATCTCCAGTGCCTTGATGTGCAGCATGGCGGCTTCACAACTGTGAAGAAAGTCTGCAAAGTCTCTGAGCTCAGTGTTGTCTTTGGCTCCAATCCTGGGCCATGTGTGAAGCTTATCCCTGTATGCTTTTGCGATGGTAAATGGGCTTCCATATCTCTCTTCCAACAGCTCCCATGCAGCAGTGTAGGCTGACTCTGTTCCTAGAAGGAAGTAACCGTCGAGTGCATTCTTGGCTTGTCCGCTCACGTACCTGCGAAGGTAGTATATCTCCTTCTCCCTGATGTTTTTCTGGTCTATCAACGTTTGGAATGACAACTTCCAGTCGCTGTACTTTAACGGATCACCCATGAATATTGCAGGTTCTGGAACAGGTATACGACTCGCACTCATCGCATCAGAAAGCATTTTAATGAGCTCTAATGAAGTTGAATCAGCTGGCGTAGCTGTTGGTTGAGAAGCTTGGACGATAGAAGCTTGAGGTGTAGATGTCAGAGGACCTCTTTCAGGAAGTGATGGCTTACGATCTGCTGCCAGATTACCTTGTGACACCTCATGGATATTTAGTCCTTGGTTGTACACTTCACACTTTGCTCGTGCGGCATTGAAGTCTTTGACTGTTTCTAAATGTTTGATCTTCAAACGCTTTTCTTCGAGTTTGGCTTTGATTTCAGCTGCCTCTTCTTCTCTTTTAATTCTCCACTGAATTTCTTCTTGTTCTTTCTGTTGGCATCGCTTCATGTCTGCTATCTCTTGGGCTGCTATCTTCCTCTTAGCTTCTGCCTCCAGATGCTGCAATTCCAATTGTTCTCTTTGTTGTTCTTCCAAGACTTGCAGAACAGCTTGGCTTGCTGTGGCCTCCGCGACAGCTTCTTGGTGCTTTATGGAAGATGCTTTTGAGCGCCCTGAGGGACTCTTCAGAAAGGAAGTGACAGATTCCAATTCACTTAAAGTGGAGTTCCAAAGAGAACCAGCTTCCGGCCAATCTGGCTCATCTTCATGTGGGTGCTTCCCATCCAGCTAAGCTGTGACTTTGGCAACAATGAAATCTGAAACTTGTGTGCAGATATCTACTTGTCGTCTTGTGTCTTGGTCTGGAGTTGAGACTCTGCGCAGATCTTCATAGACATGGTGGACGTCTCCTGAAAGGCCCTTGACATCATGAAGGATATCTTGCAGTAGACACTCTGAAAACGCTTCTGTTGTATGTGATAGTGCCTTCTTGGAGAGTTTTACATTTGTTCGCCATTTATTGTAAGAATAATTAAATCTTAGTTTCAGTGTTTTCATTTTCTCCTCTTGCATTGCTTTTCCCTTCTCTGTCAGGGTACGGGTACGCTCGCTGTGTCTCTGCGGCTGTGATTCTTGAAAGTTGCTTACATCATCTTTTGGAAGATGTTCAAGGACTTCACTTCCATCATCAACTTGCCCTACCTGAAGTCTTGACTCACTATACTGTGACATCGCTAAGCTGTACTAAATGTAAACTCAAATAAATAAATATAGAATGTAAATATAGAATGTGTGAATGCTAACTGTAATGCTAACATATGTGAAAGTAAATAAAGCCTGCATTAAGTGGAACCATCTACTCTAATGTGTCTAGTGCCTTTAAACTGAAATGAAATAAATATGTACTGAAATACTTAAATAGTTCAAAATACTATTCACTGTGCTCATGACTAATAATGCACTAAAATGGCTCAAAATTCACAAGAAACCCAAAATATAGCATTAGCTTAAAACATAAGAAGGAAAAAAGCATCAATGTCAAATACCAAAAAATACCAAAAATACACTTTAAAGTGGCAGATAAAATACTTTCCAACTTAAAACAAAAGCATTTAACTGAAAGATGTAAATATTTAACCTTCCTTAAATGATGAGCTTCAGTAACCTTTAGATGAAAGACTCAAATGTAGAACATTGCATTACCACGCAAATAGGTTTACAGCACAACACACCATGGAACCAGCGTCACTTAGCTCAACCTTTAAATAAATCCTAGAAAAGACGTTTCTTGCTAATGCCTTTAGTCACTCTTGTCAGTGTCCTTCTTGGTGGCTTCGCTTTTAAACAGTCTTTGATTCAGTTCGTATCCGCTTTTCCAGTCTAATCAAGTGTTTGTGTGTGCATTCCACTTATCTGCTTATCCTTCCTTGCTACGAGAGAGGCAGTGTTCATGCCCACAAGCCGGGCACGTTGACCAACGATGAGCTTGACAATGGTTGCTAGGCACACTGGATACGAGCTGGCTTCGTGATCTTGCTTCGGTTGGGATGGCTTCACCTCCGACGTGATGAACAGTCCCGAGTATTCACTGTAACTCCTCTCAAAGCACGACGACAAGACGTAGGTTTTCTTTAACGGGTTTATTCCTCCAGGCAATCTTGTAAAGCCTCCCAAAAACCGTGAAAACTGAATAAACACAATACACAATATCAGAATGACGTTAGCTAAAACGCTAACACGAACCAAACCTTACAGAAATGAATAAAATAAATTACAAACAAACAAACCTCGTTGGCTGCGTGCGTGAACAGAGAGAAATTAAGTCCTTGGTGACTTGAGTCCTTGTGGTCATCAGTCCTGAGTTGAGTGTAAATGTTCGTATTTAAAACTTTAATGACAGCTGATCCTCTGTTGCCGATTCCTTGGTGGGCTAATGTCTCTCTGAAGTTTAACTGACAACGTTAGTCGTTACTAGGGTGTTGCGTCACACGCACGCGCATTGAGGTTGTCAAAATAAAAGATTGATCGTGAACACGGTAAGTACATAAGTAATAACCAAATAAAAATAATTATAAAAATAACAAACCCTTTAGATGAAACACTTAAAAAATGCTTGCTACTGTTACACTGGTAAATGGTAGAGCCTGGGGGAGGAACAGAAAAGAGTATGGCCCAATGAGAGGAGTCTGAGAAAATCTTACATGCCTGGTGCTGGCATCTGTTCTTATGGACATCCTGTGATTGCCTCTCAGCAGTTCCCTCTCAGCTTAGTGCTTTTTTAAGATTCACATTCAGTTCTCAAAAATTAAATGTTGAACATGGGTCAATACTCATTAAAACCTTAAAGTAATCAAAACGTAATCAAAAGTAATTAGTTACATTACTTTTTAAAAGTAATCGAAAAAGTTACACTACAATTACATTTTAAACAAGGTAACTTGTAACTGTAACGGATTACATTTTTAAAGTAAGTTACCCAACACTGTACATCAGTGATTGTCCTCCTTCAAAAGCAGCAAAATCCAATTTAGAAATTTGTCCCACTGTATTGCTGAGAGCCAAAGTCTATTGAAATTATTGGTGGGGACCGTCCCCACCAGTCCTTTAGAAATGTATGCCTGTGTGCAGAAACATTTACAAGTAGAACCTGATATATTCAACAAGTCATTCCGGTTCATAACATCTAATATCGTGTTCTATTTCGACCCGAAACGTATTGTACCAAAAATATTTAGATCGGCCTGTTTTTCAGTGTAGTCCTGTTTCCCTGACTGTGACTGGCTGGATGTGCTCTCTTCATCCTCTGACATAGGAGCTGGCTCGGAGCTCGTCTGCCTGGCTGCGTGTTTCCTGCACGGGGCCGCCTTTGACAGCTGCTTTTTGTATCTCTGCTTCTGGATCCTTGAACCCCAGTCGGCCTCAGCAGATGGACACTAACACTGAGCCTGCTTCTGCTGGAGGTTTCTTCCTGTTAAAAGGGAGTTTTTCCTCTCCACTGTCGCTACAAGCATGCTTAGTGTGAGGGATTGCATTCAAGTCAATGAGTTGATGCAATCAACTGGTTTTCCTTAGATAAAAAACTTTGAATGAATTTGACTGTACAATCTGGTGAATTGTAAATTGCCTTGAGATGACATGGGTTGTGAATTGGTGCTATAGAAATAAACTAAATTGAATTGAATTGCACTACACTCATGAATTGTGCAGCCCTCTAAATATTGTAAAATAACTAAATATTTCACATATATATATATATATATATATATATATATATATATATATATATATATATATATATATATATATATATATATATATATATATATATATATATATATATATATATATATATGGAAGCATGTGCCAACCTATGGTAACTTCGCATACTGACGCTCCTCTATATCAATGCGATTAGGGAAACTTCTTTTGGGAAGTTTTGGGACTACTTTAGTTG